AAATTTAAAGTAACCTCCTACGAGGAAGGTGTGCAATTCTGTCCCCAAGTATTGACATAAGTTTAAAACACAAATGGCTATTGATACCCAGCACAGAACCAGATGCATATATAAACAATACTTATATCTAGAGATGCTAGTATTCCGTAGGCTAAAAGATAGGCCACTGAGAGGAAAATAAATTGATTAAATAAATTGAGACAAATATTTAAAAGCAAACATTATACAGACAAACCCCTTTGTCTGTCCTATCTGACCTCTAAACAAACCCTTTGTCTGTCCTATCTGACCTCTAAACAAACCCTTTGTCTGTCCTATCTAACCTCTAAACAAACCCTTTGTCCATTCCATCTGATCACTAAACAAACCCTTTGTCCGTCCTATCTGACCTCTATCTAAACAAACCCTTTGTCTGTCCTATCTGACCTCTAAACAAACCCTTTGTCCATCCTTTCTAATCACTAAACAAACCCTTTGTTCGTCCCATCTGATCACTAAACAAACAATTTGTCTGTCCTATCTGACCTCCAAACAAACCCTTTGTCTGTCCTATCTGACCTCTAAACAAACCCTTTGTCTGTCCTATCTGACCTCTAAACAAACCCTTTGTCTGTCCTATCTGACCTCTAAACAAACCCTTTGTCTGTCCTATCTGACCTCTATCTAAACAAACCCTTTGTCTGTCCTATCTGACCTCTAAACAAACCCTTTGTCCGTCCTATCTGATCACTAAACAAACCCTTTGTCTGTCCTATCTGATCATTAAACAAACCCTTTGTCCATCCTTTCTGATCACTAAACAAAACCTTTGTCCGTCCTATCTGATCACTAAACAAACCCTTTGTCTGTCCTATCTGACCTCTAAACAAACCCTTTGTCTGTCCTATCTGACCTCTAAACAAACCCTTTTGTCCATCTGATCACTAAACAAACCCCATAAACAAACCCTGATCACTAAACAAACCCTTTGTCTCTAAACAAACAAACCCTTTGTCTGTCCTATCTGATCACTAAACAAAACCTTTGTCCATCCTATCTGACCTCTAAACAAACCCTTTGTCCATCCTATCTGACCTCTAAACAAACCCTTTTTGATCACTAAACAAACCCTTTGTCCGTCCTATCTGATCACTAAACAAACCCTTTGTCCGTCCTATCTGACCTCTAAACAAACCCTTTGTCCATCCTATCTGACCTCTAAACAAACTCTTTGTCTGTCCTATCTGACCTCTAAACAAACCCTTTGTCTGTCCTATCTGACCTCTAAACAAACCCTTTGTCCATCCTTTCTGATCACTAAACAAACCCTTTGTCCATCCTTTCTGATCACTAAACAAACCCTTTGTCCATCCCATCTGACCTCTAAACAAACCCTTTGTCCATCCCATCTGACCTCTAAACAAACCCTTTGTCCATCCTTTCTGATCACTAAACAAACCCTTTGTCTAAACAAAACCCTTTGTCCGTCCTATCTGACCTCTAAACAAACCCTTTGTCTGTCCTATCTGATCACTAAACAAACCCTTTGTCCGTCCTATCTGACCTCTAAACAAACCCTTTGTCTGTCCTATCTGATCACTAAACAAACCCTTTGTCTGTCCTATCTGATCACTAAACAAAACCTTTGTCCGTCCTATTTGATCACTAAACAAACCCTTTGTCTGTCCTATCTGATCACTTAACAAACCCTTTGTCCATCATATCTTATCACTAAACAAACCATTTGTCCATCCTTTTTGACCTCTTAACAAACCATTTGTTCATCCTTTTTGACCTCTAAACAAACTATTTGTTCATCCTTTTTGACCTCTAAACAAACCATTTGTCCATCCTTTTTGACCTCTAAACAAACCATTTGTCCATCCTTTTTGACCTCTAAACAAACCATTTGTCCATCCTTTTTGACCTCTAAACAAACCATTTGTCCATCCTTTTTTACCTCTAAAAAAGCTGTTGTCCTTCCTTTCTTACCCCTAAATAAAACATCCTTCCTGCTTAGCTGTAGTCTTTGCTATGGATTGAATCTCCAAAATTTGACACCATGATGAGTGACTTTTAATTACTCACCATTACATGACTCCTGAAAAAAAGGTATTTTTCTCTCAAGCTTTCAGTAAAACTGTGAGAGTCTTAACCATGGAAAGTATTACGGACAGTTATTTCACAGATTTTAAACATGACAATTTTCTGGGAAAAATATCAAGTATTCATATAATAGATTCAGTTCAAATATTAGATGTAAAAAAAATCTTAGTGTCTAACTTTTTAATCAAGATGAAAAATGTTGTGGAAATATCCATTAAAATGAAAAGGACCTATAATTGTACACTGGTTTCTGTAGAACTGTGGCTACAGCCTGCTGCCAGTAAAACCACATGTACATTGATCTTGTTTCCCAGACAGAACAATGGTTCCAGTCTCCTTCATCCAAATCAGCCTGTATCATCTCAATTCTACACTCTTCATCATCTACTGTCACTTAAAATACACTGCAATCCAAGTATGCTTCAACCGTATATGTACAACTTTATATAACTAGTGTTTTTGTATACAGAAGAAATAATTCTTCATCTCAATATTTATCCTATAACCTGCAGCTTTTTTCAATGTTTTCACATTACAGGCTGACAGGGTATTGGATAGAAGAGATCCTGGGAACTAGGTATCTGACTCCCAAAAAGGAGTTCTGATGGAAATGTCTATTTCATACATTTTATCCTTCATATTTGTAAATGAACTTCAAAAAATTATCAAATGACACGGGTCAACTGAAACCCTTGGTTAAAAGCAATCAATGATCTTTTGATCAAAATAAAACCAAATTTTGTTTTTACAGAATAAACTACACATACTCACCACTCTAAACAGGGTTATTTATCATCTTAAGATTAATGAGTATGTCTATAACTTTAAAAAAAACTTAAACTGTCATCATCTGCACAAGTTTATAGGCCCCCTCATCTTGATTCAGACCTGATCCATTACATGTACATTTTGACCAAGACACTTCTCTTTCTACCACTTCAAAGTTCTAGAGGAAAGACTGTAACTTTCATAATTTAGACTAATCTAGCACCTAGATATATTTGGGTCTGCTTAAAGGCCCAAATCACAATTATGTTGTATTGTTTATTTCTCTTTTAAAAAGTCACTCTTCTAATACAAAGCAGCATCAATTTCAAGACAAAAAAAGTAAGATACTCATTTTCCTTAAAAAATGTCAGAAAAATACAGGGATCTCTTTTCAAAAAGAACATTAATTGGTTCTCAAAATGTGGGCAAGGTCACAGGTAAATTTCCATTATAATCATTTTTATAGAAATATCCTTTTCATAATTATCACAGTCCAATTAAATTTTACAAGTTTGCAAAACATGGCTAAGTCATTATTTCAATTTGAATGTCATTGTATGAAGTCCTAACTAACAGCCAAAAGAACTAAATCATTCAAATATGGTCAAAATTACTGCAACTCATGCATTTAATAGCAAGAGATATGTACAACTGTTTACTGCAGGTTAGCATGTCTGGTATAGGTACCATTTAGAATGACCCAATCATCCCATTTTCACTACTGACCATTTTACCAGACATGTAAGTGATAAAAAGGAATGAAATAAAAAGTAACTAACAATCAACATCAAACCAGCTAGACTAGAAGTGAAATTCTCACTTTACAAGGGGATTGATTTTGCTCTGTTATAATGGAATGTAACTAAATTTAATCAATACTAATAATCAATGATATAGAACTTTCAACAATACCTGGCTTATATTGGTCTATGGCCTCTAGATAACTAGTTAGTGCATATAACTAGTTAGTGTAGACAACTAGTTAGTTATAACTAGTTAGTGTATATATAACTGATCTAACTGTATACTGATGAAGGAATTTGGTATCATTTATTCAAATGAGTCCAGAGCGCCTTTTTTACAAAATTTTGATGAGTCCCATTTCTCAGAGATAATAGTAGGTTCTAAAAATTTATGTGAGTCTCACTGGCAAAGCACAAGTCAAGGACTTAAAAATTCACTGTGATGACAGTAAGTAAATTCAACTTATGAAAAAATGCTGCCATGTTCTGAAGATTGGAAAAAAATCCCTCAATTTCTCTTTCTGAAGTGAATAGATGATTTCTGTACCAATGTAGAGTGATATATGTATATATTGATTCAATGAAATGCTGCTGGTGCATAAAAATGTACAGGTACGTATCCATTAGTGATACAGAAAATATTTTCATACAATTGACTAAAATAGCAGTAAGTTTTGTAGGCATTTTTTCCACCAAGTCCAGACTAACAATTCAAACATTTTTATGAGACCTTACACTAAAAGATATATTGGGTTCTCAGAATTTTAATGAGTCCCACATGAAAAGCATGAGTCCAGGTCTCAAATAAATGAGTCCCAAAATCACTAAATAGTATATGTTCTTGTACATGTAATGTACACGTGTGAAGAAAGGGTGAATTCTGTTATAGAGAAATGATAATAAAATCCCATTTTATTCGACACTGAAATGGAAAATATTTGATGGGTCTACATACTTAAGTACTTGCTTATATTCTAAGTCAATATTTCATAAATGTTGTATCAGAAATATATATATATATATATATCAATGGATTATTTTCAAATGTTCGGATTATTCAACATTTTCAAATCAGTGATGTTGCCGTAGGTATACACACCAGGAGTATTATAAAAGTCTCCATGTGCTGTGCAACTTTTATATATGTTTACAGCTTCAACCGAGCACCTGTCAAATATTTCTTGACAGAACAGCGTGTGTATTAAGTAACAACACAACACAAACCAAAAATAGCATGTAACAGTTAATTTCTCCACCGTAAACCTTTACATAATTAGCATGACATGGATATAGATGAGCCAACATGCACCGTAAGTCTTGAGATATCCTACAATAATTCATTATGTATGACTTGAAGGCAGCCCGGTGTTATACAGCAATGGTTCAACAACACAGAACACTTAC